TTAAGCAGGTTCGGGATTCAGCAGCAGCCTTCACAGTAAGAGGACTGCAAAGATCTGCCCCTTTACTTACACATAAAACAGAACAAAAAGAATAATCACAAACTTTTTCAGGACCACTTACATCATCCGCTAAAACCCAAGTCACAGATAGTGTGTGTTAAACCTTGTTTTATTTTTAATGCATGAACTATTCATTTGAAGTGCAAAATCTTCCAGCTAAAAGACCTGATGATGACTCTTTATCAAAGAACCAAAAACAAAACTGTTTGTCCCTATAAAGTGAAATGCAAAATAAAGTTACACTAGGGGCGCTCATGTTTAGTCTGTGATTTATCTGAAGTGGAGAGTGCCACAGACTCTCCTCTCTGGAGAGTCTCAGTTCCCAGCTTGGAACATGAGCTTGTTTCCCAGCCAGGAAGCATGATGCATGCTGGGCTTTCTCACCAAACTGGATCATTGTTCCTAAACAGAGTGCAGATTGGTTGACTGTGTATAACTCTGACAGATTGGCCAAAAGTGAAGCTTGTTCCTTAAGCCATCCCATAATCCTCAAAGCTAATGTTTGCTATACCCTGGGAGGAGTCAGGAACCTAACTCCTGATCAGGGAAGGACCCCCAGAACATCTTGTCACTGCCTTGCAGGCCTGACACAGTGAGAACCCAGGCAATGGCTGTTTGTAGCCCACATGAGTTATCTGAAAGGAGACAGGCTGTCAGGGGGTACTGACTGTCAGAGCACAGACAGGTCATATGCAAACTCCCACAAGGGATCTGAAATTGTGTGCTCTTGGTGGACCAGTTCACACTTTCTTCTAATTCAGCCAGACTTCTGCAACAGCTTCCCGGGACTCTTGTTTTTGTCCACAATGTGTACATAACCAGAATAGCCAGACATAGTTCTAGATACTGACAGTCAAGAGTCTGGGGGCACTAGATGCAGAACATGACATCACAAATGTTGAAAAAACAGAAACACAAAAGCAAAATAGCTGGCCTCATCCTAAGGCCTGTCGCACAGCGCCCACAGTGCCTGGGTTTGGCCCCCAGCCTTTTCTGTTGTCCTTAGTTTGTTTCAGCATCCCCTGAAAAGGATAAGGAGTTTCCAGACTACAAATTTCTGTCCCCTCTAAGTGAAGAGTTTCTACTCTAGAAAGAAGCTCCCCTGATGGACGAAATGTGCTTCTCACACCTTCACACCAAACACAGGAACGGTTGCCACGGCCCTCTCACCATCGAAAGGGTGCATGTGAAAGAACCCAGTCCTGTGTTTGCTTCACAGATGCTGAGGAGGCCTGCAAGCTCGGCACTGAGAGGGAGAAATGGACCTTCGCTTTAGCCAGGCTTGCTGCTAGGAGGGTGCACTGGCTGATGGACAGTAGCAAGAGAGCCTCGAAATTCAGCCTGGTTTTTTTTTGTTTATTTGTTTTTGTTTATGTTTGTTTTTTCCACGACCTTTCACCCTCCCACACCCATGCTAACTTCTGCTATGTTGTAATGGCTGCCATGGGTGCCAGGAAGCACCCTGAGTGCCTGCCTGAAGGTCTACAACAGTGTTTCTCAACCTCTAAGTCCCAACTCCTTTGGGGGCCGAGTGACCCTTTCAGGGGGGGTCGCCTAAGACCATCAGAAAACACATTAAAATCCATAGCAATTAGCAAAGTGAAGAAGTAGCAGCAAAAATAATTTTATGGTTGGGGGTCAGTCATCACAATATGAGGAACAGTATCAAAGGGTCACCGCAAAGGAAGAAAAAGGTCGCAGCATGAAGAGGGTTGTAAGCTGTCTGCAAGCACAGAATGGGCGGGGCTCGGTTAAGGTGGATGTGTCTGCATCGGAAACAGAGCATCCCCGGTCCCTGAATGATTCTCAGAGCTCACAGCCCTGGGTTTTGCTTCCTGACTCAAGAGACTAACTTCCAGTCTCTCTGCAGCCTGGGTTATGGCCCTCTTCCCTCCGCAATGTCTCACTTGTGTGTGTGTGTGGGGGGGGTACCCTTGTGTGCTGTTCTGAGCTCTGGCCCAAAAGGAAAGAAGAAAACAACTTGGCTTCAGCCTAAAGCTACAAAGGTCTCTGTACAAAAAGCAGAGTTCTATTGGGGGAGGGGGGATCAAAATAAACCTCATTTGGACCTCTCCCTTCTAGTGCTTCTTAATGCTTAAGGCTGCCACCATTTTCCAGGTTGTATGAAAGAAGACAAGAGAGTTGTCTGATTTGGACCCTGCCACCAAATCCCTCTACTGGACCCGTGGCGTAGAGAGGGGACCCTGCCAGGGTAACCTGCCTTAGCCAGGCTCTCCTCCTTTCCCTGGGGCTTCGGGGCTGCTGGCAGAGCATAGCTTTCACTTTCTCCTGTTGTCACCAGCGAGAACTCACAGCAGTTAGGGGCCCTTTCCTGGCACTCAGTCACCTGAAGGCCCCAGCCAGCATGTAGCCCAATGCTAGCACAAGAGCATCTCCAGCCAGGGTAGCCACCCTCTCCAATCAGGAGACACAGGGGACAGCTCCCAGTTGGTGGGGAGGCCAAACCCTCTGCCTCAGGTCCTGGCCTCTCCTGCACCTGCCTCACCACAGGTAGAAACTGAAGCAGCATTGGTGAAGCCCCAATAGAGGCTAGCATTTAGGTAAGATGACAGACATGCACGCACACAGACACACACACACACACACAGAGAGAGAGAGAGAGAGAGAGAGAGAGAGAGAGAGAGAGAGAGAAGGCCACAGCCGGGCGGCGGTGACACATAACTTTAATCCTAGCAGAGGCAGACAGATCTCTGAGTTTGAGGCCAGTCAGGTCTACAGAGACATAGAGAAACCTTGTCTTGGAAAAGCAAGAGAGGGAGAAAGGGAGCAAGGGAATGAGGGAGAGAAGCTGGGTAACGGTTATACTTCACCTTGGAATGTCCAAGCCGTTTTCTAGAAAGAATCTTGGAGCCTTAGAACAGGACCAGTTCATTTAAGAGACAAAAGGTCAAGGCAGGGAGATGATTGCCTCTGGTGTCTCTCAAGAGATGCCCTGTAGAACCAATACCCCAGAATGGCCTATGAGGCAGACCCAGGCCACACTATGAAGAGAGCTAACCCGTTAGTGTACAGAAGTCCTGAGAGTCCTCGGATACATCAGCTACCTACCCTGTGGAGGTCTAGTAATCTCTCACCCACTCCCCAGATTTTATTACTTCTTCCTTTCCTACTCCAGACACTTCTCAAAGGGAATTGCAGACCCACAGCTCCCTGACAGAACGCTGCTTTCAGACCCCCTTCCTCCCAACCCGTCTGCCACAGACCGTTGATGCTGAGTTTACCAAGAGCAGCTCTGCTTCCCTGAACCCCAAAAGAACACTCTGGAGAATCAGCAAGGACCACAACAGTGTGCTCGCTATTTTTCAGGACCGACTCCAAAAAGGGAGGAGCTGGCCTCTGGGACACAGGAGGCCCTCTTGGGGAGAATGGGACTCAACATCCTGCTTTAAGAAGGAGTGCGGTCTACAGCCTCTTTAGGGTGGCCTTGATGGGGAAGTGACAGGTGATGAGGACCTGGAGGACTGGCTGTCCCCCATTCCATCCTGAGGGTGCCCAGGCTCTCTTCGGGGCTCACTCACACCCAGCTTCTGTCCCTGCTGACACCATGATGGCTGTCAGGGAAGATCAGCAGGGGACAGAGAGATCCACCAGCCTTTGCAGCACTGCCACACAATGCACAAGCTTATTACCCTCAAGGCACCCGGGCATAAAAATGTCAGGGAAGTAGACAAAGGCCAAGCCTATAAACATTGCAGCACAAGGCAGCGCAGCGCAGCACAGCGCCAGCCATGCTTCCCTACAATAAGATTAAGGAACGGACCACCCTCTCTGCAAGGCCCAGTCCAGCTGCTTGGTAACCCCAAATCCCACAAGACCAGAGTCTAGGAATCCTGAAAATGCCTTCCTGCCAATGAAGGGGTTTACCTTAATCCATAAATTATGACTTCAAGCAGCACACAAGACCAGCTTGGTGTCTGGCGGGCCCCTGGGCCCAGCTGGCCTGCCCCTGCTTCCTGAGCAGGGATCGTAGACTTAGCTCACTTGAAGCAGTGGTTCAAATTACCTCAAGTAGCAGTGCGATCTTCCCCTAACCAAGCAGAGAATTCTCTTTACTTCACCAGGGATACTTTGGTGATCTCAGACCAGGGCCAAGGGAACATCCTGACAGGCACAGTTCCTGATCGGCCAGCTCAGCACTGACTACAGCTTCCAGCCAAGGAATTTGAGAGACAGTTGACTCTGTCCTGGTCACCCAGCCCTCCGAGATCCCAGATGACAGGAGACCGATTAAGAGTGTTCCCAACTGTGCAGACAGCGGCCTTTCCCCGCCTCCTGGCAAAGCGAGCTTAACCACATCCCATCTGCCCCACACGCAGTGCTCCCTTCTGTGGTCATAAAACACATTCTCGAGAAAATGGCCCTCGGAAGCAGAACTGGAAGAGGAGCATTGTTGCTCGGGATGGTTTCGCCAAGGTCCAAAGGAAGTCTGGGAGATGCCCCTTTCATTCCATAAACAGAGAGCATCCGAGGCCTCAGAGGCAGTGGATGAAGGTGACCAGTCTACTGCCAGCACCTTTCTGCGGTGTGGCCTCAGTACAGGGAAATCGCTCCTCTCAAACATCACCCACAACACGTGTTAGAAAGAGGCCATCAACAGAAAGGGGGGTGGACATTTCCCTACTATACAATCTCAGGCTAACTCAAGATTATTTTTACATGAAATTTGTTTGCCCTAGTCTCTCTCTCTCTCTCTCTCTCTCTCCTCACACACACACACACACACACACACACACACACACACACACACACACAGTATTAAAATGTTTGCTTCTATCCAAAGGTAGTAAATACTCTAGATCTTTTTCAAAAAATAGCCAACTCTAATTCCCATTAACTTTTGATGACTTCCTAGTGCCATTCTTCTTCTCCATTATGACATCAGAGCCATCACTTTAAAAACCATCATCTAAAACAGGAGAGAGAGGTTTTCCATACAGAATCCAGAGATCTGGACGGAGGTCTCTGCCCAGCCACCAAAAGAAGATGAAATCCTATCAATAGTAGCCACTTGACGATTTAAAAAGAAGAAAAGAAAAGAAAAGGCTGAAATTGTTGCGTTTTCTGGTTACAGCTATTCACAGCCGTACAAGTTCACATTGTAAAAGAAAAGAAATCTTTGTCTTAAGAATAAATTATACATGGATTATTTTCCCCTTGGGGGGAAATTTTACAGAATGAAAGGGACTCAGATGCGGCTCTTGAATAAATTAGCTGGGTCTAAAGCTTCATCTTTATTGTCTGTAGGGAGTGCAGTGTAACCACTAAGAAGGAAAATACCTATAAACCGTCCTGGACCTTGGCATCCAGAACAAGGGCAGAATTAATGCCTCTCCCACAACCTAAAGGAGAAAACGCAGCAGAAGTCAGTGCTGTCCTGGAAGCCCCCAGCAGGTGCAGCCCAGATGATTTCTCTCTCCCAGTCACTGACCAGAGGTCCCAAAGGGTGGACAGGCAGCAAGAATTCAAACCAAACACTTCTGTAGAGCAGGGATTCTGGAGATGCGAGACAGGCTTGCACCCTGCTCATCCCACACAACTACTGATCTAGGAGCAAGGATCAGGTCCAGGGTGTGGGTTTGGGTCTGAGAAAAGCATTTGTGTGTGGCTTCACTTCCCGTCGCTGTCACACTGCCAAAATGTAACAGCAACACGCACAGTGACAGGCACACTCAGGCCAGCACAGATTCCACAGCAAAGCATAAGCACCCAGCGCCTCTTGGAGGGGGCTCTGCCTTCCTGGCCAAGGGGCTACAATCCCCGCGGAGCAGCCCCAGGACACTCAAGCCCTGACAGCCTCCTTTCTGCCTCTTAGGGCATCCTCTTGGCACACCTCAGCTGCCTCTGCTACCCAAGTGCAGCCATTGCCCTAACTTCCTCCTGTACCACCCTCTAGATGCTTCTAAACCCGGCAAATCCTATCCTGCTCCGCACCCCTTGCCTCCATTTCACACACCGCCAAGAGAAAAATATTCTACTTCCCAGATCATTCCTAATTGGAATCGATTTTTTTTGTCAGATCGTTCCTAACTGAAATTGATTTTTTTAAGTCGGTATTGACATTTGTAGCACAATATATTCTCTTGGATAAAGCTTCCTTCTCAAAACTGAGACAGCATCACAATAGGGCTTGTGTAGAGGATGGGTGCATCCCCACCAGGGGTTCCTTACTGTTTGTAGATTCCCAGTGCACACCTGCAGAGAATCTGGGTACCACAACCCTGCAGTGGGAGTGCCAGGAATTCAGCCACCCCGCGGTGCCACACAACCTCCAACTAAAAGGAGTATCCAATGCTAACACTTTTCTAAACACAGACACCCTTCTTCTTAAAGAGACAGCGTTTTGTATCGATGTTAGCAAATAAGCATGGCTGTAACATCCAGTGACCGCAACTGCACAAGGCTTTCCGCGCCTCCTGTCCACGGTAAATGTGTGTGTGAGTAAAGGAGTGTGTAAATATGAGTGTGAACTGTGTGATCTCCTCTGTGCAGGTGGGAGGCCTTATTCCACCATCCCTCCAGCCTGGTGACTGGCCAGGGTAAGGCTGTTTTTCAGTTGGGGTCCAGGGCGGCAAGGCCCTCCCCAGACCGCATGCTACCTGCAGCCGCAGGCCTCCACAACCATGTCCTCGTACTGCTTGTAGACCACGTTATTGGCGGCATCGATGTAGAGGATACTAATGGGGCTGAGGCGCGCGGGCACGCAGCAGGAGGCTGGCGCCGCGTCGGGTGCCATGGAGTTGAGCAAAGTCTGAATGATGGCGTGGTTGGTGGGTTCCAGGTGCGAGCGCAGAGGAAAATCACAAACGCCCTCGCAGTGATACGCCTCGTAGTCTAATGGCGCGATGATCCAGTCGTCCCAGCCCAGCTCCTTAAAGTCCACGTGCAGAGGCTTGCGGCTGCACCGGCTCCGGCCCCTGCGCCCATGGCCCTTGCCGCCACCTCCGCCGCTGCCCTGTGCTCCCCGCGTCCCCGCCAGCGCCGTCCGCCTTCGCCTACGTCCGCTCAGGGTTGCTTTCCGAGCCCCATCGCCTGGTCCCGGATCCGGTGGCGACTCTGCGGCTGCCCGGAGCGCGCGGGCTTGGGCTCGGATCTCCCGGAAGAGACTCTCTTTCTTCTGTGTACGGGAGGAGATTACCAACAGCGCGCGCTCCTCAGCAGCGGTGCCATCGCGGGTACCACCGCCCGACCAGCCAAAGCCCAGTCGTCGCAAAGCCAGCGGACTGTTCCCGGTGCCGGCCACTGCGCGCAGCACCAGGCAGAACTTGCGGGAGGCGCGCGGCTCGCGACGGAGGCTCTGCACCGCGTCCGTCACGTCGAACTCTTCCCAGCGCGCGACTTCTAGGGGTTCGGCAGTCCGCGAATGCAGTAAGTGAGATGTGTGGGTCACGTCGGGGCACGAGGACAGCTGCAACAGCGGAGGAAGGGTCGCACTGTCCGGGTCTAGCTCCGGAGACCTCCGGCGCAGCACGCGCAGTTCAGCACTCACTACCTCGTCCGCATCGGGGAGGCTGGATAAATCGAAGAGAAAGCTCTGGCCGGGTTCGGTCGCCAATTCCTCTATGGGAAGGACAAAAACAGAAAGAGTTGGTTGAGACTAGAGCCAATACACGCAGTCAAGGGGGTTGCTTGGCTTGGGATGGCTGCCCTGGATACAACACACCATAACTCAGGAAGGCCCATCGGAGCGGGCAGTCGTTCGCTAATCTGGGCTCCAGAACCAAGGCTGCGAATCCTTTCTTGTCTCCTACACCTGAAGCTTTAGTTCTTCCGCTGCCACCCCTAAGGATCACAGATACACACACCTAAAAGCTGAACTGTGTCGGCCAAGAAAGAGTGCACCACCCCACCAAGGACAAACCTTACGGCCTCTTTAGTTCTGCTGCCTTCAAAAACAGCGCCTAGCCTTAACTCAGACTTCTTCTGGTCAGGGGCGCGTCTTCCCGAGGACTTGCTCTTTATGAAAATTGTCCCTTACTGCCGGGCTGGGTGCCTCTAGAGAGCTGCAAGTTCCCCCTGGCTGTACAGAAACGAAAATTTCTCATGTCCTAAAAACATGTTCTCCTTTGGTTCACTCTCTTCTCTCAACCTAGCCTACTAGACAAATTGGACCCCCGAGAACAGTCCAGAAACGAAATACAGCAGCACCCCGACACAGACCCCCTCTCCTCCGGACCACCTTTTCCCTTCAGCGGAAAGGAAATGAAGGCCCAGGTAAGTCACAGGTTCTCCCAAATTCGCCCTGAGCTTTCATTGTTGGTCACCCACTTCGACCCCATTCTTGGGGAGCCCCACAAACGGGAAGGGGAAAGGCAGCCAGATGCAAAGAACCTTCATGGAAAAATTAGAGGCTGCCACGGTGAGCGCTGCTAGTCTTTGACTCTGGTGGGATTTATTTCAGGCTTCGGGTTTTATTTCTGGACATAGGCCCTTTTTCTTTTGGGATGGACTCTGGCAGGAAAAAAAAAGGTTAAATTCCACAAAAGAGCAGATAAGGCATTGCCTTTGAAGAGGGTCATATGGTTTCGTTTTGCCCCGTTGCAGAGACCAGGCAGAAACTTCCCCCCCCACCTTCAGGATTTGTTCACCAGCCATGGACACCAGGCCTTCATGCCTTAAGTCTACAGTCTGGGTAATGCTCAAGCAACTCAGTTCTAAACAGAAGCTGGTGGTAGCAAGCTAGACAGAAGGGCTGGGCTGGATTTCCCCTGCAAAGAACTTTCGCTGGAGCCTCCACCTCACCCCGCTTCTCCAGGGAGGGAGGGAAGAAAGAAAGGTGACCCACCTCTGGGTCTTGCTGGTCAAGCAGAGCTCCACCAGAAGGACCTAGTTGGTTCTATAACACAGTATACTAAGCGAGGCCTAAGAAGTCTGATGATTCTGTGACCTCAGGGCCCTTCCTGGCTCTCACCTCCTGCAGCTTGAGAGCACCCTACATAGGTCTGAAGTTTTTCCGGATTTTGTGTGGTGGGATTGGAGCTCCCCTGAATCAGTGCTGAGTTAGGTGACAGGACTTCTGAAGATGCGCGCTGGTCCTAAGGGCCATCTGAGCCCGGGATTTCTAGATACTGAAAAGAAAGCTGTCTGTGCAGGGCCACTGTGTGTGTTTCTGAGATGGGTGGTTACTGCACGGTGGCCTCTGCCTGTTTTCCCACGCTGGTGTCAATGGCCTGCAGACTGTCGGTGGCTGCTGCACTTTACCTTCCTGGCCCATTTGCCTTCTTTCCCTCCTGATTTCCAAGCTAGATCTTTGGCTGGGTAGAATTAAGGCCAAAATTGCTTGCATTTCCGCCTAAAATTAGTTAAATTTTCCCTATCTGTCTGCTTTAATGACTTCAATGAAGATTAATAAAAACCAGATGATACACAACAACTACCCCACAGTCCTACCCACACCCTACCTTGGAGGGTCCAGCACGGGGTAAAATGGGACACTTAGGCTCCAGACATCCATGTCCTCCCCAAACAACCGAGCCCTGGACTCTGGCCGCTGGGGCCTGGCTGCCACAGATCGCTGGCGCCCATACTCACTCCCCACACACAACTCAGTCCACCCAATGCCGCCTGCTGGAAGGGCCTTCCTGGTACAGACGGAGCCCATTTCCTTTAATCTGCTACCTGTTTCTCTACACTGATTTCTCTTTAGCTCCCTTCAATTTGTGTATTTTCCCCTGGGGACAAGGAGCATCAGTACTAGTCCCTCTCGGCGGAAGGAACTCCAGGATCCTCATTCCTGTCCTTTCTTCTACCTTCTTACTTCTCCAAGAGCTCCAGGCCTGAAGCCACTCTAGACCCTTCCCCAAAGAAGATCTTGAACTCGGTTTGCCTGCTTGAGAGGGACCTGCCAGTCTGCGGTCCCTACCCCTCCCAGCTCAGCCCTGGGAAACCAAGCTGCTACTTAGCGGGTTCGGATGCGCTGACTTAGGGGACGAAGTTTCTAACTTCTGAAGATGGGATTCATGGCTCTGAACTCAATGGAACAGAAGCTTGTCTCCCCCAGGACGTCTCAGCGCAGGAGCAGATGGGCCCGGGTGGCACAGAAGATACTTAAAGTACCTTGAGTCGCGTGGTCTATGAAGCCGGTGATCGTGTCCGCGCGGCCGTGCCCCGAGGCTGCCATGGCTGGAGCCCTCCCAGCCAAGCTCCGGTAAAGCGACATCATGAAGTGGTGTGGCACCACCGAGCCGTTCCTCCGAGCCGGAACGAGGGTCCGTCCGCCGCCGCCGCCCCGGGAGCTCCAGGCTGGTCCTGCACCCGCCGCTCGGAGCACCGCTGCAGCCTCCAGCCCGTCGCGGGGACGGCAGGCGCTCAGTAGCCAGAGACACAGCGCGGCGGCGGCGCTCAGGTCCATGGGCTCCGTGGGCCTGTCGGCCGCGCGACACGGGCTCCGTGGCTCCGGAAAGTCCCCCGACGCCTTTTGAACATAGTGTTTAATAATGGGGGAAGTGTGCGCAGCAAGCCGCTGCCCCCCGTTTTCTCCCACCCCCCCCCCGCCCCGGGCCCGGAGCAGCGCCCCCTGCTGAACGCTCGACCCGCAGCTCTGAGCCCCCCAACTCAAGCCTGTCGCGCAAAGCAGGGCAGGAGCCTCCTCCCCTGGTTGCAGCGCGGTGTCCCGGTCCTTGCCAAGTGAGGGCCACCCGCCCGAGGCTCCCGCCACAGCACAGTGCCCCGCCTCCCCTCCCTAAAGCACTGAAAACCCCCTCCTTGTCCCAAGACCTGAGCGCTCTCCTTGGCTGGAGGATGGGGGCGTCGTGCGTACCGCCCAGCCTCCTCCCCACTCCTCCACGGAGAAACACCGCCCTCCCCGCTATTTTGTGTGTGCTTAGGTTGCCAGGCCGAGGCAAGGTTGGGCCCCTCCCATTTAACTTCCTCGCCTTGCGCCCCCTTGGTGGATGCTCACTAGGAACCTCGGAGAGCATCTACTTGGGGATGTTTACTGTGCGCATTCGATTGGAGTCACCTTGGAGTCACTGCCCTCTGAGGATCTCAGTGGGAGGTCAGAGCAAGGGAGAGGATCTGTGGCGAAGGATAAGTTCTTGGAGCAACAGGGTAGAAAGAGACAGATGGATATGGACAGACGGACTGTCGGAAAGGAAAAGATGTGTGTGGGGATACTTGGGCCAAAGCAGGAGCCAAAGTCTTAAAGGACTTGATGAATTAGGAAGGCCTCTGGGCATAGAGTAGCTGACTCCCGGGCAGATTAAGGTCTCAGTGTCCGTGTCCGAAAGTGCAACCAACGTGGTGACCTCTCTACCGTCTGGGGGCAGGGGAACACATTTCTCCAAGGTCAGCAGGGCAAAAGGCAGCAGGTTACTGGTATGTTTGCATGTAGCCACAAGTCCAAGTCCGGAGGGTGAGCAGCAGAGCCTTGGAGTAGCGCTCTGGTGCCAAGGGGGTTATAGTAGCCTTGGGTGGAAACGGATTCCACCTCGGCCCTATCAAGTAGGGGACACCTGAGCATATAGACACTGGGGCTCTTATTTGGCTAGCCCTGGTTCTAAAGAGTGGACTGCACTGAGGTCGTCCAGAAAATAGACAAGCAACTGTCAGACGGTTTTGAGGGCCTGGACCACACCCCCTTCCCTTTTACTTTAAAATTGCATTGGGTACCAAACTGAACATCCAAACCGGGGCTGTGAGTCTGCAGGTCGAGGGCTATCTAAAAATTCCTTCTGGATCAACTGTGGCCCCGGTTAAGGAGATGAAGAAGTACACTCCCACCCTGCCCTGTGAATCAGAGGCAGAGCTCAGTCTGGGGTCTTGGGATGTTTGGGAGCTGGAAGGAATGCCCTGACCAGTGTCAATACTTTTAGGGTTACATGGGAGCTGTAAGACCTGAACTCACCTGTAGCAAGCATGTGTGCACCTGGACCAAGATTTGTGCTGCTTGCCTGCTCACAGCCTTCCTGCTGTAGCAGGATGGCAGACAGCTGGGGACAACCTGCCTTCGGAGCCCCCGGTTGGATGTTCAGAGGAAGTGACGCTGGTAGGACAGAGACTTCCTACTGTAATTCTCTTCCCACCTTCCCGCCCATGTACACAGGGGCCAGCCAGGGGTCTCTTTGTTCCGAGGGACACTGGGTCCTGTTACCTCGCTGCCCTTTTCTCTACTGTAGGCACTCATGTCCTGCGTGTTTCACAAGTTAATTCCATGTTGGAAAACACTGAGAATCCTGGGCTGTCGGGGTGCTGGCTCCAGATCTGGCTTTGCCCATTAATCATCTTGGCAAGTCCCTCACTTGTCTTGGCTTCGGTTTCTCCAGTTGTGTATAGGGAAGAGGGGAAAGGATCTGGCACTGTCTGCATGACTGCATGACACCTCTGATCGTAGGACTCAGGAAGTTGGGATAGATTGGTGATCCTTCCTACAACGGGTTTGAGTAAGCCACATAGCTTCTTTGAGAATGAATGTCCTGGTCTCTGAGTCTTTGTGTAGCTAAGACACAGACTGGAACAGAGGTTGCTCGGTAACTTGTCCCCCCGCCCCAGGATATTCTGACTGCTAACTGTGAATCTAGACGTAGGTTTGTGAGCGCACTGGAAGGCTTTGGAAGAGAATGGAAGGCTTGGGGCGGGGGGAGGCTCACACAACCCACCAGCGGTATGTAAAGCAGGGTATAGTCTCTTCATTTGTACTTCTTGGTCCAGACCCCTTCATCTATCCATCTCTCCACTCATTCCTTCTTGCAGCGATTTGTTATTGCTAGGCATCCTTCCATGTGTTGCGAATTCATCAGTATTGCAAAGACTCTTTGAGAGCCAGGGTGGGCAGGAGAAACAATGAACAGTAACACACAAGTGACTAACATACATACTGTCAAGGACACTCTGAGAACCACGACGATAGGAAAGGTCTTTGTGATCAGCAGAGAACACCCTGAGGCAGAGCCCCAAAAGAGGAAAGCATGGGGGTCTAGGGAGCATAACTGATTCCTTCCCTCTTACTTCTGCTTAAGGGATGCTAGTCACTTGTCACCTGTCCATTGCTTACACACCCCATGCCATTCCCTCCCAACAGCTGCTCTATCCAGTAATAGTGATTCGTATATCATTTTCTAGACTGGCCAGTCACCTAGACATTAAGGCTTTGCCCAGGGTCAAGAGGAAAGTAGCAGAGTCTGGAGTGTCAAACTGTCTTGGCTCAGCTTTGGGCTTCCACTGCCCCAAGGAGGTGAGACTGTTGGGGGGCTTTGGTCTGTTAATTTCCTCCATGACCCTCTCTGGCCCTCTGGAAGCTTCTCAGCAGAAAAAGGGACTCCAAGGTCCCGATGAGGATTATGAGAGAATCCCCCCAGTGGACTCTTCTCTCTGCCATGAGCTGGGAACTCGCTGTGCTGAGACACTGCCGCCTATAGGGCCAACAACAGGGCTCAGCTGTCCTCCCTCTGACTTCCTAGCCTGGGGCTTTCAAGGCTCCTGAACGAATTCCTATTCTGAGGTGAAAATGCAGAAGACAGAGAAAAAGGCCGAGAGATTCCCCAGCCACTCACCCTTCTCTGCCTATAGCTCACTCAATTCCTCCTATCTAGTAGATGGTCCCTCTTGGACCCACAATTCCAAAGCTAGCCCAGGCATGCTTGGGGGTTCACCTTGTATGCAGGAAGCCCTTGGCAACTGTCTGGGCAGTAGTGAGCCAGAGATCTGAGCCATAAGATGTTGGAGCTGTGTTCTGCTGCTGGCTATACACACTGGAAGGTAATGCTTGCCCTGGGCTTTGTCACAAGACTCACTGGGAAGTGGCTGCAGCAACCCAGTGGCAAATGGCGAAGTTCAGGGATGGTGGGGAGCAAACCATACAGGAAGTTATCACTTCTGTTCTCTACCTCTGTGGTGATCAGGCCCCTGCACAGTTAGGAGGGGTAGGGGTCTGCATTCTTACCCCAAGTCCTCTCCCTAGGGATAGATTGCCTGTCTATCGCCCCTGCAAAAACTATTGGCTCACTTTGAGCCCCTGCTTTCTCCACAGATCTTCTTAGTTATTTAGACCAACTTTCCCTGCCAGGCTTCAGTTACTACAAACGGCTGTCCAGGTTGCATTGGCATATCCCAGGCAGCCTTCTCATAGCTGAATGGAAGGCAGTTCTATAGGCTGCACCCATGAGAGCCATGGCTTTCGAATTTCACCTTGCCTATGGGGAGTTTGCTGTGACCTGAGATCATGGTCTTTGAAATCTGGTCTTAGAACATATCACAAGAGTTGTGGTGACTTCTGGGTACTGGAACTTAAAGAAGCTCCAGCTACTGCCAATAGGCATGGCCTTGATGATCCTCCTGCCACACCCAGATATCTAGCCCTCCTGTGTGCTGACAAGGGAAGTAGAGGTCCCTTAGAAGTGAGGAGCTGCGCAGTCCACATTATCTAGGAGAGGAAGCCAAGCCTGCAGCAAAGGGAAGCGGCTCACAGCCTGTCGTTTGGCATCACAGCCATTGGGACCCATGAGCCCTTTCAGAATCTGGCTGACCTGACCCTTTGCTCTCCACTGCAGCTCAAAGACACTTGGTTCTGCTCTGCTCAGGGGCCCAGTGAATGACTTGAGAAGTGAGATGAAGGCCACTGTCGGGCACTCTGGCTCCCTGCAGCCACACAAAATTAAAACACTCAATGTGTCCTCCAGAACCCCAAGAGACCTGAACTGAAGACATCCCTTGAACATCTGGCTGCAAGTCCCTCACCCTTCCTGGCTTTGCCCCCTGCCAGCTTTAGTGAGACTGACAATCACATTTCAACGGAGGGACAGTGAAAAGTGGAGGAACCACGACAGCAGGACCAGGAGTGTGTCCTCTGTGAGGTCGCACCATGACCTCTGACCTCCACAATCCAGAGCAGAGAGAGAGAGTAAAGGGAGAGTGTACCTGGTTTAGGCCTCCCTGAGGGGAGATGGAGAGAGAGAGAGAGAGAGAGAGAGAGAGAGAGAGAGAGAGAGAGGTGACAGCAACCACCCCTCCTCCACCCCCGCAGAGGCATCTTCTTGCCTCTTCCTTCTCTTTTGATAACTCTGGTTCCTCTACCAGCCCCTAGGAAAGCTTAAGTCTCTCCCAGAAAGACCTGGACAGAGAAAGTAAAGATTCCAGCAGCTTCTGAGGGCAGCACCCCGGTATGCCCAGGGCCAGTCTTCCTCCTCAAGCTGCAGGAATTTCCCCTTGCTTAACCTATAACTAGGCTGTCCGGGTTGCCCCAAGCAACAGCTCTGGCATTCACACTGGGGTCCTCAAAGCCCTGGCCTCGGGCCTCTGGGCGTGGCCTGCTCTGTGGCCCAGACCACCCTGTGGAGGAGGGGAGGAGAGGTAATAGGAGAAGGTAGCTTCTTTCCCAGAGCCCTTCCTAGGAGAGCTTTTCAGTGCCTCCTAGGT